CGTATATTCCCCATATCTCTTAGCATAAATGTAATCCTTGTACTGAACGTATTCTGTCTCTTATACACATCTATCAGGGTCCATATATTGGCTAAGAGTTGTAGCATTTGGGTCTTGTTCCTGAAGTTACTGTTATGTCCGTTGTATCTGGTTTCAGATACTGAATCCTCTAGTAAAGAAACATACGGACTCAAGACAACTAATTCTCCACCACCAACGGCGGAACTAAATGTCTTTGAAAATAAAATGCTTAACCTGATCCAGTACAAACAACCAACCAATTTCAAAAGAAGTTACCCAAGATGCCAAGAAGATAAAACAGGACAGCAAATTATTTGTAGCAGCCGACAAGACTACTAATTTCTACCGCCTTGACCCACCAAAGTATAACAAATTACTAGATGATAATATCACTAAATCCTATAAAAAAGCATCTGTGAATATTGAATCCAGAATCACTAAAGAAGACAAACGCATAGCCGACAATCTTGAGTTAACTAACCGGATAGACACAACAGCAAAGAACGACGCATTCTTAACCCTAAAGGACCACAAACCAAATTTCAGAAATAAACCTGTGTGCATGCAGACTTATCAACCCGTCAAAATCAGAAATTGAATTAATCAGCAAAAAAATACTCCAAAGAATAAACAAAAAAATCATGGCAAACACCCATTGAACTAGTGGGCACACACTAACGACGTCATCGAATGGTTTAAAAACATCCAAAATAAACCGGAACATTCCTTCATCTGCTTTGATATTTGTGATTTTTACCCATCTATAACTGAAGAACTGCTAAAGAAAGCCCTGAATTTTGCTTCTCAACACGACGACATCAGAGAACATGAAATAAACATAATTCTACAAGCCAAGAAATCACTGCTGTTCAACAAAGTTAAACACCATGGTGCAAACGAAACTCAAACTCACAATTTGATGTAACAATGGGAAGCTATGATGGAGCCGAGACGTGTGAACTAATAGGCCTATTTATACTAGCCGAACTAAAACCCAAATATGGATCATCCATTGGATTATACCGAGATGATGGTCTTGCGGCTTTCAATGAAACACCCAAACGAATTGAGCAAATAAAGAAGGATATATGCAAAACATTCGGTAAGCACAAACTAAAAATCACCATCGGAGCCAACTCAAAAGTAATAGACTACTTAGACGTCACCCTTAATCTCAACGAGGAATCATTTAAGCCATTATGAAACCCAACAACACGCCACTCTATGTGCACAACCAAGGCAACCACCCACCTGCAATAATACGCAATATACCAGAGGCAATAAATAAATATATATATATATACTGTATCATCAAGTGAAGACGTTTTTAATGAATCCATACCACCATACCAAGAAGCACTCAGACAGAGCGGATATGACCACAAGCTCAAATTTGAACCAACCCGCAAAGGAAACCAAAACAGTCGAAATCGACAACGTAAAATCATCTGGTTCAACCCACCGTATAGCGCGTTTCAACCAACATAGGCCATAAATTCCTATCTAAAATTGATTCATCATTCCCTAAAAACCACCCACTCAGTAAAATATTTAACCGGAACACATACAACTGTAGCTTAATTTCAAATATGAAACAGATAATTACAAGCCACAACAAGACACTGCTGAAAAAAGAAACTGATCTGACCGCACAAACTACAGGTAATTGTAATTGCAGGAGAAATGTAACATGCCCATTAGAAGGAAACTGCTTAACCAAAGGAGTTATATACCAAGCGACAGTTACCAGATATGACAACCAAACCCAAGAAACGTATATTGGACTAACAGAACACACGTTCAAAACCAGATACAACGGACATAACAGTAACTTCAGGAACAAGACCCAAAAAAATGCTGCAACTCTTAGCCAATATATATGGACCCTTAAAGATAACTCTATCCTGTACTCGTTAAAATGGAAAATCATAGCCAAGTATACTCTCCGGCCCAAAAAAAGTGTAATCTGTGCCTGATGGAAAAGTATTTCATAATTTGTAAACCAAAATTAGGCACATTAAATAACAGAATTGAATTGGTAACTTCATGTAGACACAGAAAAAAAAACATCTATTGTGTAACAACTAAGCAGCAATATTAACACCTCATGCAGCTGCACAATGTTAGGAACCATAGCAACGTATATATTCCCCTTATCTCTTAGCATAAATGTAATCCTTGTACTGAACGTATTTGTACCTGATGAGTGTGGGCAGCTTTTGACAGCTGCCCATATGAAACAAGCTTGTAGTAATAAATGCATATGGAATTTTTCTAAAGTTTGTCTACTTTTCTATGTTAACATAATTAAAACTTTGTTCAATTTAAAGTCAGAGACATGCCCTGGTCTCGACTAGTCACTATCAGATAGGCTTATCTACATATGGCTTATGAATTGATACTTTTTTGGAAGCAAGAAATCAGGTTGACTTTACACAGTACCGTTCGTTTTATTTCTTTCATATTGTCAAATAATTTTCAACTTTTTACCACGGTATATAATTCATTTTAATCCATTATCACTTTTCTGTATATGTTGTATATTATTAATTTAAATGTAATTTATATATTTTCTTGCACAGTATGTTTTGTTTTATATTTATAATTGTCTTGTTTGATCTCTTTCACTCCTGTCTTTTATTCATTACTAAAGCCAACTTTGTTTGTTTTGTTTTTTTTGAAAATAAATTTAGTTTGATAGCAGTCTGTTCCAACGTGTGAAAGGCATTCCAACAGATTTGGTAACAGATATTGAAAGAAAAATCGCAACGCCGGCCATTGATGCTCAAGATGACGTACGTATAAGGCCTAAAAATTGTTGTGTTGCCCTTAAATTCCGATTTTTTTATTTTATTTTATTTATTTATTTATTTATTTTTGGGTATTTTTTAGTAATATTCCTGCCTGAGATAGGAAAGACGTCAAACTCGCGGGGTCCCTATTTATGAAGACATCAAGCCTAAGGCCTCGTAGGCACCACAATAGAACGATGGCAAGCTTGTCAAACAAAAAATATGACGGAATAAATAATAACCAAGTGTACATTGAAATTTATCAAAAATATATCAGTTTAAAGAAAGATTTATTTGGTTTTGAAACGTAAAATAATTTGTGTATCCCCGATCCACACGATCATGCACGGGCAGGTCGAGCAAAACCATACTATGGCTATGGAAAATTTTCAAACAAGCGCCCTCTGTGTAATACAATCGAAATAAACTTAAATACCATACAGGTAATTAAAAAATAGAAAAAATATTTTGTATGGTTGGCATAAACCGTAACGGGGCCTAAAATGTTTCTGTACCGGCTTTAAAGTGATGGCTAGACCAAAGCCTGTTTTTATTGTCCAATGGCAATACAGTATACCGTAAGGTAATGAATACGATTTTTGATTCAAGTGTAGTGACGACCCCCGTACGTTCGTATCCCCGATCTACGCAGGAGGACATGACCTCAAGGTCAGCTCATCTGCATAACCCACAGCCGGGTGTGCTGCACAGCCGACCAGGGGTACCTGGTGAGATTAGTCACTCGTACACTGGACTGAGAGCATCGTTTACCTTACTACAGGATTCGTTTAGGTGTATCTGGTGTCCGAGTCTTCACAGGAGTATAATTGCCTGCGCTGTGGGTAGTACTGCTGTGTTTATATATATTATTGGAGTATTCTCGCCTTAAGAAGATATCCCATTGGATAAAGGTAAGGCCCCATAAAAAAAAATGATTAGTTTATCATCCCCGCGCGCATCTCTTTTGACGAAATCGCGATTTTTTTAAAATTTTTTTTTTACTAGATTTTTTTCATTGAAAAAACGATCGTTTGTTCGTCAAAAACAAATTTTAAGGCTGGTGAATGATGATTTTCGATCTTTAGAGTAGTCGCCAAGTAACAATATCTATTTATAGGCTCTTATACACATCTAGATGTGTATAAGAGACAGACACTCTTCGGAAAAGAGTAAGGGATTGTCTCCCAGTGTACTGTCCAATCACCACCAGAAGGACCCCACTGGAAATAAGTCTTCTTCTAGACTTTCGTGGGCTATCCTTGGTGATTACACCGAATAAATCCAATCCAATCCAATCTTATTTTTGGAGATTTTTTTCTGAAATTGCCATTTTTTGTGAGGGCAGGTGTGCTAATTGGCCAAAAATAAAATTTTATTTTTATTCGGAAATCTTCGTCTTTGGCAGGCTGCGGGTTTACTACACAAAGTGTAAAAAAAGTCTAGTCTGGCCTAAAGTATACTTTGGCTTTTTATCATCGGAATTACTAGATAAAAGGCAATTGGCTGGTGGCAATGAAATCCCACCATGCTGAATTCTGAGCAGCTGAGAAGCACTGTACCTATA